AAGTCAGATGGTGTTGCCTGGCACTTTACTTAGAGATGTGAGTCCAGGTCAAACATATTACTCAGTGTAAGCAGCTGTCATTTATTGGTAAATTGCCTAACTGAAAGTTATAAATAAAATATCTTCCATTGCTTGCCTGTTCCTTTTAGGAATATTGCGTGTGGTTGTGTGTGTGTGTGTGTGTGTGTGTGTGTGTGTGTAAAGGGACAATTCTATACCTATCTCCCTTAACCCATCCTGACTTTGGGGTGAAATGCTAGCTATCTCACCATTCCCCTTACTCCCATCTCTTCTTGGCTGGTTAATTATAAGTAGTATCCATTTGTTCATTTATTCATCACACAAACCTTTATCAATTATCTATGCCAGTGCAGCTTATGTTTTGGTATTTATTGAATTGCTCAGATATGTTTGTTAAAAATACAAGTAAGTGTTTAGGTTTTACCCTAATCCTATTGAATTTCCAAGAGGTAGGTTCCAGAAATTTCCTTTTTAAAAAGGCTGTTTTGGGTATGCTCTGGGAACACAAAGGTGAACAGGGCAGTCCTTTTCCCTTCTGGACCATGTACAAGTGCAAGCTCGTGCAGAGAGGTTCACCAGGCTGTGGTAGAGGTGCATGGGCATCCTTGAGAGGGCACAGCTGCTCCCGCCAGAGGAGGCCGCAATTTCAGGGGCACACACCATTTGGCATGGGGCTTGCTCTCCATGCATCAGCTTGGTCAGCAGGAAATGTTCAGTCTTGTGTAGTGTGCCGGCTGCTTGCTCCAATGCAGGGGGCGTCAGGCTCGAGTGGACGACAATGCCTGTTCTGTCCTGCTCTAGGAGCTGCACACGGGCCGGGAGGACTGAGCTAGAGGGGAATCTGCTGACTCAGGGGACTCTCGCTTCTGGCGACCTTCTTGCTGGTATCCCATGGTCAGCGTGGAGGGCAGGCAGCACGGGAAGGGGTGGGAAAGCAGGCTGGGCTTATCATCCAGAGACACGGTCCAGATGTGATCCTGGGAATCTCTAGTAGATGACCTTTTCAGCCCTCTGGGCCTTGCTTTTTCCATCTACAAAGGCACATACTAGGTTCTACATTATAGGGTTATTTGGGAATTATATGAAATTACACATAGCACATAAACTGCTCAGCACTGTACCTGGCATGAGTCAGTGACAACAAATAGTATTTATTTTTGTTAATATTGGACCCCCCACATGTGCCCAGAAGTGTCTCTTCCTCCAGCCATGAACGTCAACTTCCATATCCACAGTGGCTCACAACTGCTTATCCTGACCCAGCTCCCTAGAGGGGTAGTCCTGGCTGGAGGCTGGAGGGGACCTGGCTGCCCCAGGCCCCTGCTCACAGGCCCATCAAGGCAGTGAGTCTCAATCTGGGGCCCATTCTTGGTCACTCAGGTAAAAGTCCCCAGGTCACCAACCACCCCCACCTTCTCCCTGCCTCCCTCCCAAAAGCACTTGTTCATCACGGCTGCTGCCACTGAGATTTACTGCGTACGCCAGGGAGGCTGAAGCAGTACATAACTGTATCTCCCAAGAAGCTCTGCTAAAATGATCATCCTGCCTCCCCCCACAGACTCTGTGAACCCTGATTTCCCTGGGGCAGCACTGGTAAGTGTACTTTACCTTCCCAGCAACACGGATCTAAAGGACTGCTCTTCGTCCATGTCTCAACTCAACACTGTGTCACTCAGCTGTCACAGCAGTAAGTCCAGCAAAACACGATGGTTCACATGTAGCATTTTGAAGCTCAGAGACACTGCTTTGTGTGCCAAGCTGAGGAAGTAGAGCCTTGGCACATGGGACAGAGAACTCTGCACCTGCATCTAACAGGCTCTCTGGACAGCTCCGCCCAGGGGCACCAGTACCCAGGGAGGCAGCCACTCTCCTGCTGTGGCCTCAGGGCTCCATGAAAGGCCTGTTTCCACTTTAGGAGAAAGACTCCAAACTCAGGAATAAAAAAGCTGACTGGCTATTTGGGAATCATCTAGAAAGTGTGACAAGAGGTGTCATCTGAGAGCAGAGGTTCCAACGAAGGTGGTCTTGCTGCCTCTGGTTTCATTCCCCTTCTGCAAGGAGATGGAGAGCAGCAGGTCAGCAGCTGGAACGGAGACCTCTGGCCCCCCTACACTTGGTCCCCGTGTTGTGGGCCTCAGGCTGCTGTGGGCTTTGACTTTTGTCTCTCTTTGAATTCATACTGGAGGTTTGGGGTTCCTGTGCAAAAATGAATGTAACCAGGTCCTTGTCTCTGCCTCCTGCCAATAGACGCAGCTGAGATTTGAGTGGAAGATGGACTGACAGAGGAAGGAAATTCTGCCTTCTCGGCTTTCTTAGATTCTTTAGAAAAGGGACTCAGAGAGGCTCTTCAGAACTGAGACTGGAAGGCAGGCCATCCCCTAGGGCGATGGTAGGGAGATAAAGGCACTGAAGCTAAAAGAGACCTTGGGGAAGGACCGAAAAATACAGACGTGATTATCTGCATGGAGAGGAGCAGTGTCAATCACTGAGGACCTTGCCTGCATCACCGATGGGATGGAGACCAGCTGGGGTTGAAGGTGATACTTGACATCCTTAATTTTTCTGAGTCCCCAGCAGCCCTGAGCCCGAGTCTGCAACCCACTGGGCAGAGAGGTCATGATCTAGTCAAGTCTTGGGTATTCCAGCTTAGGTCACTACCAAGGGAATTTAGTTCAGTGGGTCCTTAAATAAGACCAGCTTTCGTTAGGGCTGATCTCTCTTCTGCTGACAGTTCCCATCCTCTTGGGCCTTCCCCTAAAACTACTGATTATTTGAAAAGTGCAGAGGCCACAATAGGAACTGATACTCTAGCAACCAAATCTGTTGTAGGCCACCTAGCACGCAGAGAAAATCCAGCCATGCACATGCACTCATGCTATTCCTGTCACAAAGAACAGCCTCTCTTCCAGTGACCCGAAAGAGGGTGTGTGCATCTGAAATGGGAGTGGGGTGGGAGAGGGGATGAGCCTAGATTTCTTGCTTTGACAGAGACACAGAGGTTCACAGCACGCCAGAGGTGGGCAACCATCTACACAGGATTGGGTTTCTGGAGTCTTCCCGAGGGTGGGCTGTGCGGGTCTAGGGCGGGATGCCAGGCCTGGGCTCCAGTGCCTGCTAAATTCTTGTTAAATTAACTGTCAGAAAGCCCCACTCCCGCCAGGGTTAGACACACAAGACTGTGGGAAGCTGTACGCAATATGACAAGGTGCAATTTAAAATCTGGGTTCTTCTTCTTGGCACTTGGACCCAAACTCGTCCCTCGCTGGAAGACAGCAGGCTCGAGCTGCAGGGGCGGGAGGAAGATGCCCGCGCCCGCGGGTACCTTCCCAGCCATGACCACGAGTGGCCAGCAGGTGTCAGTGCGCCCTCGCTCTGTCACGGCGCCTGGTCGCCGCCGCCAGGACCCCTCCCCACCGCGGCCCAAGGTTGGGGAGCGGTCCAGACCTCGGGGTCGGGTCCGGTGGACTGCGCTACGGCGGGGATCACTCGTGGCCCGTGTCCCCGGGCCGGAGGTCTGGACTCCGGCTGGGCTTGCTCCTGGGTGGGTGCTTCCCCTTCTCCCCAAGGGTCCAGTCCGCACCTTCGCCCGCTCCCGCGGCCGGACCCCTACTTACCCCGGGCACCAGCTGCGCCCGCACCGCGGCGGCCTGGCGCGAGGCCGGGCTGCTCTGGACGCCACCCGCGCTCCCGGCCGCTGCTTCCCGAGCGGGCCTGAGGTCCCCAGCACCATTTCCTCCCCGGGATCCGGCTCCTCCGGGGCGCTCCCCGGTGCCCGCTGCTTTCCGCTGGGACAGCCCCGAACTTCTCGGCCAAGTCCCCGCAGGGGCCGCTCCCCACGCTCGGAACGCGCTCTTTCCAGCCCTCGCTCAAGGTACTCCCCGCTCCGGGGGGCCGGCCCCCCCAGAGGGACGCGCTCCCGAGGGTCCGTGGCGGGGCACCCGCGCTGGCTCCAGCCCCGCAGAGGGGAGGCGCCAGGGGCGGGGGAGGGTCGGCTTCCCACGTGGGGGCTGACGCCGGCTGCTCGGCAACGCAGGCGAGATCTTGGGGCTATAAAACCAGTCCACGCTGAGCGCCGCGGAGCAGCAGCGGCTCCCGCCTCTGTGCAGACGCCCAGCGGCCGCCGCCCCGCCGCCCCAGCACCTGCCCGCGAGCGCCGCGCTCCCGCCCCAACTCCCGCTGCCCTGGGGCCCGGGCCCGTCCGGCGGCCCTCGGCACCCTCCCCGCGGCGGGCCAACGCCCCGGACGCCCTCAGCCCGGAGCCCAGCTGCCGGCCGGCCGGTCACCCACCCGCCGCGGCCCGCCTAAGGACGGGGGCGCCTTCATGCGGCCCCCACATCCCTCAGCCTGCACCCCCGAGCCCCGCGCGCGGTGCCCCCGCCCCAGCAGGGCGCACAACTTTGGAAGTCCCGCGGCGCTCCGAGAGGCAGCAGCAGAGTCTGCACCCCGGCCCCAGGCCGGGCCCCGCGGGCTCCGCCGCGCCCGGGCGAAGGGAGAGAGTCGGGAATCGCTCCGGGGATGTGAAGACAGACGCGCCTAGGACCCCGGCCCGCATCAGCACCCGCGGCCGCCTCCCGGGGTGGGGGCGGGCCCCGCGCACGGTAAGCCCTCTCGCTTTCCTCGGGCGCGAGTCAAGACTGATTTAGATAAATCGATTTCCTTTTTTTTGATCGTCCTTCCAAGTCGCCAGGTTCCCCATGACTTTTGTTTTCTCTCCTTGAAGAACACATCCCTTTGCCCATCGGCGCGACCCGCTCTCTTCCGCCGCTGAGCCACAAAACTTGCAGTGTTTGGGAGCGAGAAGGCGGCCCCCCGGAGCGCCCGGAGCGCGGGCCGGACGCCGTTCGCGGGAGCCGGGCCCATGGGCCGCTAGCTGCCCGGCGGGCGGGCCCGGCCTCCCTGCGCCCCCTCCCCATGTGAGGCGCGGCGGGGCGAGCCGGGCGCGGGAGGAAGAGGAGGACCCGCGGGCGCCGGGCCGGAAGGCGGCTGGCAGCAGGCCCAGGCGAGCGTGCAGCACCCGCGTTCATGTTCCGCCAGGAGCAGCCGCTGGCCGAGGGCAGCTTCGCGCCCATGGGCTCCCTGCAGCCGGACGCGGGCAACGCGAGCTGGAACGGGACGGAGGCGCCGGGGGGCGGCGCTCAGGGCACCCCCTACTCCCTGCAGGTGACGCTGACGCTGGTGTGTCTCGCCGGCCTGCTCATGCTGCTCACCGTGTTTGGCAACGTGCTGGTCATCATTGCGGTGTTCACCAGCCGCGCGCTCAAGGCGCCCCAGAACCTGTTTCTGGTGTCCCTGGCCTCGGCCGACATCCTGGTGGCCACGCTGGTCATCCCGTTCTCGCTGGCCAACGAGGTCATGGGCTACTGGTACTTCGGCAAAGTCTGGTGTGAGATCTACCTGGCGCTCGACGTGCTCTTCTGCACCTCGTCCATCGTGCACCTGTGCGCCATCAGCCTGGACCGCTACTGGTCCATCACCCAGGCCATCGAGTACAACCTGAAGCGCACGCCGCGCCGCATCAAGGCCATCATCGTCACCGTGTGGGTCATCTCGGCCGTCATCTCCTTCCCGCCGCTCATCTCCATCGAGAAGAAGGGCAGCGGCGGGGGCGCGCAGCCGGCCGCGCCCCTCTGCGACATCAACGACCAGAAGTGGTACGTCATCTCGTCGTGCATCGGCTCCTTCTTCGCGCCCTGCCTCATCATGATCCTGGTCTACGTGCGCATCTACCAGATCGCCAAGCGCCGAACCCGCGTGCCTCCCAAGCGCCCGGGCCCCGACGCCGCGGCCGCGCCGCCGGGGGGAGCCGAGCGCAGGCCCAACGGCCTGGGCCCGGACCGAGGCGCGGGCGCCCTGGGCGCCGAGGCGGAGCCGCTGCCCGCGCAGCTCAACGGTGCGCCCGGGGAGCCGGCGCCCCCGGGGCCGCGCGACGCCGACGCGCTGGACCTGGAGGAGAGCTCGTCGTCCGAGCACGCCGAGCGGCCCCCGGGGCCCCGCGGGCCCGAGCGAGGCGCGCGCGCCAAGTGCAAAGCCCGGCCGGGCCAGGTGAAGCCCGGGGACAGCCTGCCGCGGCGCGCGCCCGGGGCGCCCGGGCCCGGGGCGCTGGGGGCCGGGGCCGCGGAGGAGCGCGCCGGGGGCGCCCGGGCGTCGCGGTGGCGCGGGCGGCAGAACCGCGAGAAGCGCTTCACGTTCGTGCTGACCGTGGTCATCGGCGTGTTCGTGGTGTGCTGGTTCCCCTTCTTCTTCACCTACACGCTCACCGCGGTCGGCTGCTCCGTGCCGCGGATGCTCTTCAAATTCTTCTTCTGGTTCGGCTACTGCAACAGCTCGCTGAACCCCGTCATCTACACCATCTTCAACCACGACTTTCGCCGCGCCTTCAAGAAGATCCTCTGCCGCGGCGACAGGAAGCGGATCGTGTGACCGAGGCCCGCGCCGGAGAATAGACCGGAGTCGGCCGCGAGCAGGGCTGGTGGAGGGGCGCGCCCGGGGCCGGCAGAACTCGCTTTTCACGCGCCCCCAGGGGTTGCTCCAGGCCTCTTGCCAGCACCTGACCTTCCTTCCAGAAAAAGTACTGTGTGGGAGCGCCACATGCCCCCCCCCCAATGGTTGTTAGGACCCCCGTAGACCCAGCTCAACCCTCTTGGGTGCTGGGCCTCCCCAAATCAGTATTGTTTCCTAAAGGTGTTTTCACACCCCCCTGAGCGCAGCAGCTGTCACAGTTCCCAGCAAGCACAGGCTCCCAAAGGGCATGGCTCGCAAAGGGTTAAATGGATGGGGCTTACACAGACCTGGCTCATTGCGCCCCCCACCCCACCCCACCCCACCCCCACTTGGCTCAATTTTTAAACAAAGGCTGGGCGGCCCTGCCTGCCCTCTGCATCCCCCACTGTAAATATACACTATTTTTGATAGTAAGGGCGGGGGAGGGAGATTCCCCAACCGTGCTTGGCTTTTGTTGTTGAAATCCTGGCTGTTGGAGATGTCCTGGAGGCGGAGGCTTTTGTCTCTACTTCAGGCAAGCCCCTTCGCCTTGCAAACCACATTTTAATGTCTTTACCTCTCTCTGGACCTTTTCACCAGCAACTGGTGACTGTCCCTTGGGCCTAGACCTGCTTTGAGATTTCTTGGGGTGGGGGGAGATGTCTGCCCATTTCCCCCCCTGTGCCCAACAGCACAAGTGAGCGCCTTTTCCTATGTAAATATTACAGTGATGGGCCAAGACAGAAGTAAATGAACCTTTCTGCCTTGCATCAGCCTTGTGTACAAAGCCATTATCCTCTGATGCACCTTGTCCCAGTAACTGACTTAAAAACCATCCCTGTCCCAAGTCCTCTGCCTCCCTGCAGGGCCCCTGCTTGAAGGGTATGTTTTGTTTCTGTTTGGTATGTATTTGGGCCCCTCCCCCCTCAAAGTGCTGACTAGGGGAAAACTCTGAACTGCTATGTTTAGACCCAGAGGAGTGGAAATTAAGTGGAAGAAGCAAACCTGATACAATTTGCCCAAGGTAAACAGTTTGAAAAGACAAATGAGCCTGCCAAACTCAAGTTTCTGCTCCCAGAGCTGTGAGGTATCAGGGTTGCCCCTTTTTAATCCCTGCTTTTCTGGTGGAGATTGTGCCACTGATGAGCTCCTGAAGTCAAGGGCGGAGGGCGGAGACCTCGTGTTTACATCTGAGTTTCTACATGGTTTAGACGGAGACTCTTTAAGGCCTGCCAGGCCTGCACTCTTATTTCACGAAAGAAAAACTAATGTCAGCACATGTTGCTAATGACAGTGGATTTTTAAAATAAAACGTTTACAGATCAAATGTGAAATAAATATGAATTAAATGGTCCTGTCTGTTATCTGTGTTTCCAAGAACTGTAAGACTCTGGGAACACCTGATTATATAGCTTTCTAGTATTTTATTTATTTATTTATTTATTTATTTATTTATGCATACAAGAGCTGGGATACAGGCCAGTGGTTTGGGGGGTGAGAGGACTCACCAGAGGCAAAGTGGGGGAACAGAACAGGCAGATTGACCAAAGTACACTGCTGAGGGGAGCAGCGGGGGAGTCAGAAGAGGTCTGCTGTGCCACGTGGGTTGCTCCCTGGCTGGCTGGGGATCCAACTTGTGCCTCAGAGGCTGCGGATGGCTTCATAGTGCAGTGCTTAACCCCTTGCACCACCAGGGAGGCCCCTCTAGTATTTTTAGTACAAAAATGCTTGTACATTATAAAACACTAATATTTGAAAGTGCAGCAGTAGCAAGTTACCATTTACCTAGTGTTTCTTAAATGCCTGCTGTCTAAGCCCAGGTGGGTTCTGCTTTACTTAATCTTCCCTTAAATGCTTCAAGGTAGTTATTATCATCCCCATTTTGGACGCAAAGAAACTAGTGAAGGGCAAGTGATTGCTCAGATTTACCAAGTGGTGGCAATGCTTTGCATCCAGCTTTACCTGGCTCCAGGGTCTGTACTCTCTAACCCCAGAATTGGTGGCCGAGTTACATCAGCACCACTTTGCAGACTACTGCCAGCAGTGAGGCGTCTACCTAGAATGTGCTGTGCACACAGAGTTTGGCTATCCCAAGTGCGTGGATACATGCAGGGTGTGCATGCCCAAGTGTCCACATGCCCTACGGTGTATATGCCTCGACGTGTGTATTTTGCCCCACAGGATGTATATGCACAAAGTGTGGAATATTCTCCAAAATGTGCATCGCACCTTACAGTGTGATAATGTGCACCTGTGGTAGCAAGCCGTGCTGTGGCATGGGCACAAAGTGTGTACCAACACCTAAGTTGAGCCAGATACCACTCGGTGGCTTGAGTCATCTCTAGCCAGGGGCCTGAATCCTCCCTGTTGCATGTCTGTGACAGCAAGTTCCTCTCTGCTGTCTTGTAGGACTCTCAAGCCTCAGTCCACAGTAATGACACTGGGAAGCTGGAAGGGCACTTAGTGGTGTAGGAATCCAACAGCTCATCTAATGGCTCTGGAGACAGAACTCAAGAGGAAGTGACTCGCCCACGCTCCCACTACTCTGTTGCCTTAGCCAGGTAAACAGAAGTGACAGGTCGTGGTTTGGGGAGATGACATTGGGCCAGGCCAGCCACCTGGAACACCCGTGCACGTCAGCTCTGCTTGTGCCCGCAAGCAGGTCCTCAACTCTCCTTGAGGGGTTCCACCACACTTTGGCAGCACTTGCAGTATCTCCTTATCGTCCCCAGCTCTTCGGTGGGCAGAGGGCAGAGAGGACTGAGCACTATCTCTGGCCTTTGAGGGCCCTGGGGAGGGAGGGTCATGGCCCTGAGGGGTTTCTGCCAGAGGTGGGAAGGAGTTTCTACGATCACTAAGTCACTGAGCCTGCAGGCAGGCGGCTGGGCTGTCCTCAGCTCCAGCGACAATTGCCCTGGCATTTGGCACCAGGCTGGCTGCCTGGTTGGTGCTGTAACCTGCTCCCCACCTCCACCCCAGCCTCTCTCTGCTTCCACACTCCAGGGCACCCATCAGGCCAAAGGCAAACAGTGCCAGACAATAGGCCAGCCTGGCAGGCCCCCAGGAACTGGGCTGTGTGTGTCCCAGACGTCCCAGACGTAGGGGAGACGCAAACACAGCAGCTCACTGGCTGTTGACTCCGGTCCGCTCTGCCTGCTGGGGACACGTTTGCTTTGCCTCATTCCCAGAGCCCCCGCGCCTTGGGAAAGAGGTGAGTGTGGGCAGTGGCAGCCCTGGGGAATAGTCCCCACCCTCCACCCTCCAAGACTGCAGCAGTGGCAAAGCCTGAAAAATGGGTAGGGCCTTAGGAGAGTGGGGGAGAGCAGGCGGGAGCCCGCTGGGATGCTGGGTCCTGAGCTCCCAGTAGGAAGTCACTGCTTCTTGCAAGGACTCGGCAAAGGGGAGGAGGTTTGGAGAAGCGCAATGACCTGCACAGGGTCTCAGCCTGAAGCCCAGAGGAGACAGTCGCCCCACGGCTTCCTGCTACATCTGATCCAGTTATCCGGGTCAGGAGCATCTGCCTTGGGACTGAATCTCCAGCTGGGGTATCAAAAGCCAGTGGCTTTGGGTGGGAAGTGTGCCTTGCCACATCCACTCCCGCCAGTTGCCTGAGCTGGGGCTTGGGAGATGCCGTCGTTGGACACGCAGCGCAAGGAAAGCTCCTCCCCATGAGGCTCGGTGCAGTTTCTGCTGTGCTAAAGGGCTGGAGGCGAGCGTGAGCAAAGTGGCCCAGACTTGCCCTTCTCTGTGAGGCGACACTCAAGGCGGCGTTTATACCAGAAGCGTCTGCACATCCTCACCTCCCACGCTGCGCTGTCGAGGGCCCGAGGGCCCGGAGCCCCTGAAAAGCCATCTGGTGGCGGGCAGCCTGGCATCCCTCGTGTCCACTGCTCCCCATGACTGCGTCTGATGCCATAGCTGTCCAGCACGGATTCCCTTTCGCTGGGGGATGTGGGGAGTTGCTGGTGCCCCTGGGAGGTCCTTCTGTGCCCACTGTGTGTCGGCCCCCCGGAAGGGAGGGCACCTGGGGCAGACTCTTCCTCCCAGGCAGGTGCCCTGCACAGCCCAGCACTTGTCCCTGAGGCGTTAGCGGAGATGGGGGTCTGCCCCGCACTCTGGAGGCGGACAGCAGAACCTCATTTCTCACAGAGCACCTCGGTGAAGCGTGTTTGCTGGGACACTTGCTGGCCACCCCGGGTGAGGGGGTCTCGTTGCTGATCAGTGTTGGGTCTAGGAAATGCCAGCCCTGCTCTTCTGCTCCCGCCCTGTTCTCCTCAGCACAGCTGACCTGCAGGGTCCCGGCTGCAGGGAGCCCCGCCCCCCACATCCCCTCCTGCCCTGACGTGACACTTGGTGTATTTCAGATGTGGGCCAGGCGTTCGTGTCAGTGAGTGCATGAGGAGAAGTGTATATGGGGGTGTGAACGTGCGTGTGAACATGTGTGTGAATGTGTGTGTGCATGTGTCTGTGTGTGAGAACAGGAACAGCCTGTTTCTTTTATAGAGGCATGCTTTATTTGTTTGTTTGTTTGTTTATACAAGCACTGGGTACAGTCAGAAGCGCAGGAGGGTGAGAGAATTCACCAGAGCCAGAGCGGGGAGCAGAGCAGGCGGAAGGACCTCCAGAGCTCAACTACTGCGCCACCGGGGAGGCCCAGGAACAGCCTGTTTCAAGTGGGTATTTCACTCACGAGCACCTGAAGGGAAGCAGAAGAGGACCAGAGGGTTGATGGGTGGGTACAGGGTGCAGAGGGCACACAGGGACAGTCTCATTGTATCACTGATTCTTTTTTTTTTTACATTTTATTTTTTATTATTTTTTAAAGATTTATTTATTTATACAAGCACTGGGTACAGTCAGAGGCGCGGGAGGGTGAGAGAATTCACCAGAGCCAGAGCAGGGAGCAGAGCAGGCAGAAGGACCGAAGTACACTGCTGAGGGGAGCAGCGGGCGGCAGGAGAGGTCTGCGTGTATGTGGGACCCTCCTCAGGTGGCCGGGGAGCAGCCGGGGATTGAACTGGCGCTGCAAAGGCTGTGGGCAGCTTCACAGCCCAGCGCTCAACCCCTGCGCCACCAGGGGAGGCCCGTGTCACTGATTCAAATTACAGTGAACCCCTCTGCTGCTTGTGAGTTGACCCCTTCCCAGCCCTCCAGGTGGAACCCCACTCCCCTACCAGGGTAAGAGCCCAGCTGAGCCAGGTGAGTCAGGCCAGGAGGCCAACCTGGCTTTCCAGCAGGCTTCATTAACAGCCCACTCTTCCGTGGATGGGGAGTTTACTTCACCTGAGGAAATTCAGGAGGGGATGGAGAACCCCTCTGGCCTTTAAGTCTTGCTCCAATCTGCTCAAGAGGGAACTTGGGGTCTCTTTAAATCTTTATCTGAGAAAAAAGACAGTGTTCTGAGAAGGCTGAATGGAGAGAGACTTCACAAGGTGCAGGTAGGTGTGGGTAGGGTGACAGGAGACTCACAAGGGCCATACGTGGTGAGTGGGGCTGTTATACCCTGGCCTGCAGGGGTGAGGGGAGGGAGCTGTCACTCCAAGCTGGGAAATGTTGCTGTGGGGAAGGACCTGGGGGGGTCTGGTGGCAGAGGGCTGCTGGGACCATCGCTAACCCTGGCCTGGGCAGGGACAGAACCCAGAGAATCAGCCCCCTCTCCACTCACACTCCTGCACCAGGGACATAGCTGCTGGCCTCTGCCCTGAACCAGGACTCAGCACTGTGGGGTCCAAGAGTGAGGGGCAGCTCTGGGAGCAGCTGCCAGGGCTCAGAGCAGGCACCAGGGGCAGAGGCTGTAACCCCAGGGGCCTGCAGGGCAGCTGCGTAATTCCTTCAGTTTGTGCACAGACCAGTTGTATGGCCACTGGGCAGCTGTGGAAGAAAACATCCTGCTTCCTGGACTCTGGATGTGAGGGTTTGTGATGTGGTCATTATGTGTCTGGCAGGCTACACACCACACACACACACACACACACACACACACACACACACCATCCTCCCTGCCAGCTGGGGAGGGCCGAGCCCCTCTCAGGCAACCATGTGGCTGGCTCTTGGCCCAAGTTTTCTAGGCCTCATATCAGTGGCTCGCCCCAGCTCAGGCAGCCAAGAAGCAACTGCCTGGCAGTGACACCCCATGAGGGCCTGGGTGAGGCGTAGGGATGGCAGCCATCCCAGGTGAGCGAGCACACCTGTCCCTGGGCTACAGGAGGGATTCTGCTGCTCCTTACTCAGCACCCATGGGTACCCCTAGTCTTCCTTCTCAGCAGATACACCTTAAGGATTTTTTGTGCCTTGGCCACAGGGGAGGCACTGAGAGTTTTAATGAATGATAGATTTATTTATTCTCACCCTCTCCCTCTCCCTACTTCTCTCCCCC